TAAAGGCATAAAATAAAGGCATAAAATAAAGTTAATTGTTAGTGAATTAGAATTTAATTGATAAAATGAAAGCTTCTTAACAATAAGTTTCATTTTCTTTTTGTCATGTATATCGTTCATTTCAAATACTCAAAGCAACCACATATGATCAACGATGTTCAAATGATTCACTTAGACCAAAATTGATAAAGTTCATTAGAGGATTGATATAATCAAAGCCTTCTAACAATGAACTTCAAAGTTATTGGATCAAAGGTTTCAAATTAAACACACTCGGGCTTGCAAACATAGGTTTGGTCCACAAATGATCATTTTTCAAGTCAGGATAAATTTAGCTTTATGTTAAGCAATCGTAAGTGGACTTATGTAAAAGTCACACTTATTTTGAGGCCAGTCAATAGAAATTTATGTATCAACATGTTAGAGAAATAATATGTAGATCATTTTCCAAAAATATGTAGCACAAGTGAAAACAAGAAAAGGATAAGATGAAGAAGGTGGAGAATGATAGTACAACCAATGTATCAGATGGAATTAGGGTTTCAAATATCATCAATATCATTCATCCATTTTGGTGGATTTGGTTTTTCAACCTATCAACACCCAAAATCCAATGAGGTTGGGGAACTTGTTCCAAAATAACAATCAAGTGTCTCTAAATCAGAATCAATCAAAAATAATAATAAAATATATTTAATATTTAACAAAATTTAAATGACTTAAAAAAATAATTGATAAAATACACAACACGTGTTAAAACATCAAATAAAAATCTTAAAAAAATATCAGAAGTCAAACATGAGTCAAGAAGTGTTGAAATTTTTTTATAGAATTTTTTAAAGTCAGAAACTATTTTTTTAAAATTTAAATAAATAAGTAAAATAAACTAAAATTTGTGAAAAATAGTAAAAAAAAAATGAGGTCACCAATATTTGTTAAGAGGTCATTGGATCCTTCCATTTTTTTCCAGAATTTTAAATGACAAAAAAATATTTTTAAACAATTAAAACAAGTAAAATAAAGTTAAAAATCATAAAAAATATCAAATCACAAAATAAAATTGTGAAAAAATAAGAATCAGAGAGATAATATTTGAAAATAAGAATCATTTGATAATATTTTGAAGTTTAAAACAATTAAAATATAAAATCAGAAAATAAAAATAAAACCAAAATAATGTGGACCATCTGATCATTATCAAAATAAGTTAGTAAGTTAATCCAAAGGATCAGATGCACTGTGCATGATATGAATATTAGTGAATAAACCACCAAATCATTTATTTTTTTTAAACAGATTTGAAAAAACAAGTGGCGCTTTGTCATTGGTTGAGAGATGACACGCTGGTCATCTTCAACCTCTGGCCACACGTGAGTTGCAAGTTCTACTTACTGTAAAATTAGAAGCTCAGATCAGTGTGATTCGCTTCGTCTCATCAAGACGATTCCAATGGTACCCTCGCGAAAAATTTGTATAAACTGTAGCTCAATCGATTTGCAAAAAACCAGAAGAAAAATAATGAAAAGGGATTTGAAAATTCATGAGCAAAACTCACTTCCAGTCAAAAATCAACGATGCTATGAGTATCAGAGTGATGAGAGCTACACTATAGTAACAAAGTTTGGAGAGAATTGATGGAGGAATCTACCCGTTGAAGCTCAATTTCAGAGCTCTGAAACTTGACTTGGCTAGCACAATTTAGAGCACCTCAAAGCTTGGTTCTTCTTCTGTTAGCTTCAGTGAAGTTCAAGGATGAAGAATAAGCAAAGAAATTGGATTGAAAAATAAGGGAATAATGAGTTTGAAAACTCATAATTATTGAGCTATGGAGAGAGTTTGACAGAGTGATTCTGGTTATCCAAGCTTGCGAAAATGAGTGGAATATGGTTTGTATTTATAGGAGAAGTGAATGGAATCAGGAGAATGGGTGAATGATGCAATTTGAGTGGAAATCATGCACACCTGTGGTCATGAAGAAAGTGTGATCACATGTGCATCAAAACTTATCCAAATGATACATTTTGACACTCTAAATGCTCGAGACATCTTTGTTAATCATGTTTAAGTGGAAAACATGCACAAATTTGATCATTAGAAGCCATATTATGGAAATTGCAATATGACTGCGAGTGGAACTTCAGTTCAAAAGTACCAACTTTAAATCCATGGTACACACAGTTCATGAGGCTTTATGACATGATTCTTGAAGCATTTGAAAGACAAGGTCACAATCTTTACAATGTGCCAAGAAATACTACATATGGATAATTGAGCTAGAAGTTATGTCCTCTTGAAATCATGAAAAACAAACTGATTTTTGTACTTAGATATTTCTAAGTGTTGAACTTCAAAATCACCTATAATGTTCTTCAAAATTACATGACTTTCCACTCAAAATTTTGTCTTGATATCTGAAGATGAAATGAAGTAGACCTCTTGAATTGAATTTTGGAATTGACACCACTCAAAAATCATAAAAATTGAAGAGTTATGGTCTTTGGAAGATGATGAACAAATTTGGAAAAATTCACAAAAGACATATAATCTTTTCAATTCTCAAACAACTTTCCAAGTATTTTCAAGTCTTTCACATTGATACAAATTTGTAGTAGACATCCCAAAGATTATTGTGGAAAAATAATGGGCTCAAGGAGATAAAAATTTACCAATTTATGATCATTTAAAGTCAAACCCTAAAATTCAAAGGCTTTTCAAAGAGACTTGTAATCTTTCTCAACCATTAGTGATCTTTCATTCAAAATTAGCCTTAGATCCCTGAAGAGAGCTTGTTAAGGACCATTTAAAGAGAATCATGGCTTTGGAATCAATAAAAAATCTCAAAAAATGAGCAAGATATGGTCCTTGGAAGTCAACAAACCCTAGTTTAGAGAGTGTCAAAATGACTTGAAACCCCTTTCAACTTTTGATGCTTTTTCTTGCACAATTGGATCTTGTCATGTGGAAAGAAGTTATTTTAGATGATGGTAATAATCCACAGCAAAAAGAACCAACTTAAAATATTGAAAATTGAGAGAGTTATACACTTGTGACCATTGAATCAAGCACTTGCTCAATTAGGTCAAACTTATTGAACCAACCTTGAATCTTTTGAACTTTCTTGGCAAAAATAAAACATGATGAATCATAATATGACCTAAAATGATGTTGTCTTGAAGCACGCCCAAATATGAAGTTTAAGTCTCAATGAAGCTTGTTGAAGAATGCATGGAAATAAACACATGAACCTATGAATCTTCTTGATGAATACCACCACCAACTTTGAGGAAAACTTGATCTATAAAGTGAGAGAGTTATTTGAACCATAAATCTTTGATATCATAGACAAATCCTTGAAGCTTGAGCTCTTGCAATCCATTGAAGAACCATTTGACAAAGGGCCAACCCTCAAATCCTAGGTTAGATGGTGAGATGAATGCAATTGTGTCATCACCTACAATATAAACATTCAAAGAAACATATATACATATTTTGATGTTAGTTAAAAGAACACGTGTACAAGATACACACTTCAAGGTGCTTGGTGATCCCTTAGGAGCAAACTTAAAGATAGGATGGAGCAGAAAGAGAGAACCAACCCTAATGTGTAATCTTGATGTATTGATAAAAAAAATGAGATAATGAGAGATATTAGGGGCAAAAATTGGGGTATAACACATGAGATACACCATTAGAGGAGAACAAAGTGTTACAACCTCAACACACACAAACCGAAAAACTCCTTAACACACTTCAGGCCCAACACAAACCCTTGCACAAACACAACATACTCCAGGTGCAACAAGTTAACCTAGGTTTGTAAATAAATCAAACCCTTAACACAACAACTCTCCACCAAAGCTACAAGCCTGAAAACACCAAACATGTTCAATACACACCCTGTCATGAACAATCCATCCTCTCCTTCTAGGGACCATTCAACCACCAATATGAACTTATCCAAGTACAAACAACTTTTCAGTAGAAACCTTCTACCTTGCTCATAACCAGAAGTATCCCCCTCAGATCTCATCCAGAAATAGATAGGACACCTGCTCTAATACCAATTGAAATTCTGGTACTACAAAATTCAGATGTCCTATGACATGTTGGGACATCTAATCTGCCTTAACAACACAAGCAAGGTATAAACATTAAAAATAGTATTGAAAAGCAATAAACAACACACAAAAGTTTTTAACCCAATTCATAGCAACTCTCATACTCTTAGGGCATACCAAGCCAGGGACAAGTCCACTATGATATAATCAATTCATAGACCCTACAACAAACATATCATTTTATGATCTACTCACTTAATCATTATCCGTGCTATACTTCTATCTAAGACTCACCTAGATATGAGGTCTTCCTTTATCCCTTATCAATCACATGCAATGAATGGACAACAACACAGGAAGACACACTTCCATGACAAAAAACAAAAGACACACTTCCATGACAATACTCATCAAGACACTTGACAAGAACACAACTTGGAGTTACTTAAAAGCTTCCTCCAAGAACAATACTCAACTCATTATCTACAGGCTTCTGAGTGAGAACAAAACCTTGAAATCCAAGGGACACAATCCAACTCACATGTCGAGTGAATCACACATACCAACTCTCCTAAAGATTGGCTTACAAACTCAGCCTTAATGATTACATCTTTCTAGTTCTCGGTTGGTACTATCCTAGGTTACAAAAACTTCTATTTATAATATATTTCCAACTGAATTTGGGCATTCAATCACAACTCTTGGGGCCTTGGGGTTATAATGTGTCATTGATTAAGGTAGGATAAACTAAGACTAAATGGATTAAATTATTGGAGTTAGACACTATTTTCTTTCATTCATCTACTTTGATTATTTTCTTTATGAGTTAACAAGGTTTTGATTTCCTCTACAATGCATGACATATGGCTTTGACAAACCAAACATTTAAATCTCCTAACGATATATGTTCACTTAATAAACATGTACAAATAATTCTACGATATGGTAAATCAAAACCAAAAGAACAAGTGGGTTGACAAAGTACTCCACTTATGGTTCCACAAAAAGCATATATGAATTTACCAAGACTTAAAAGATCCCTCGTTTTAAGCTCCATGTAAACCCTTTTAGGATCATATTGAACTTAAAAACATATTGTCTCAGACTAAGACTTTTTTAAAAATCGTGCAAAAATTAAAAACCCCCTTCACGTAAGACCCCTAAAAAATTATTCAATGAATTTTCCAAACTTTAAAGACTCTTGAACTTAAATAGTCAACAAACTTCAATGGACTATACTCACCTGTGTTAAATGAGCCAACCTAAGTGAAGCTTTAACATCATATAAACTAATGTCGAGTCCTATATCTATCTTTCAGTGACTCACAAGTTGATCTTTAAACAATCAACTCGAAATTGATACAAAGACAACAAAACTTGACAATGATAAAAATCATAAAACCTAATTTTAGTGAAAAGTGATGTTTTCAATCCATCTCAAATAAAATTTCGAAGGATATTAAGTTAAATTTTTTTATTTGTCTATCACAATCTCTTTAATTTATTTAACGAGAAAATAGATTATTACATTATAAAATATTTTTATACTGTCAAAGACGTGTATTTCGCCAAATCACATTTAACAAATTTAAAGATTTTGATTGAATATCTATATGATATTATTTTACATTGACAATGCAATACTTACCTTTAAACTCTTATTTAAAGTTTCTTTCCTTGTTTTGTTGGAATCGACGATAAAATATTTTAAATTCAGAATTTAAAAAAAAATATTGATTTACTAAATTGCTATCCCATTATATTTAAAACAAAATATACAATCAATCGATAATTGATTTTATAGTGATTAATGTTAGATTTAGTAAGTTGAATCACAACTCGATTTTCCATAATTAAGATCGAAAAGAGAATGAAATCACTTTATACTCTTAGACTATACCAATGCTTTAAACAAAAAAAAACAACGAAATATCCAACCCAAAAAAAAATATCGCGCGATAAAACCCGCCAACCTTGAGAACCACATTTCTCTCCTTGAAAACCAGATTCCAATTAAAATCACTATTGGACCACCTACTCCACGTCATCGATCCATGCCAATCTCACATTCCAATCTAAACCGTCGATAAAAACACATCAACCGTCCGAAACACATTCAAAACCCATCAGACAGACAACTTGTGCTTTTTCAAAACAAAAACAAAAAAGCACAACACCCCGTAAATTTCACTACCTATAAAAACCATACCCATAACCATAACCATAACAACCATAACTTCATTTCTCGATCTTCTAACAACTCAATCTTGTTCTCACAGGTAAATCTCAATCAAAATTTCCGATCTCAAATTCAAATAATTTTCTTGAATTTCATAATAAGATTCTGTATCAAATTTTATTGTATTTTGTAGAATTTTGTTGATTTGAATAAAGATGTCTGGGCGTGGAAAGGGAGGAAAAGGATTGGGAAAGGGAGGAGCAAAACGACACCGTAAGGTGCTCCGTGATAACATCCAAGGAATTACGAAACCTGCCATTCGTCGTTTGGCTCGACGAGGTGGAGTGAAGCGTATCAGTGGTTTAATCTACGAAGAAACAAGAGGTGTTTTGAAGATCTTTTTGGAGAATGTGATTCGTGATGCTGTTACTTACACTGAGCACGCTAGGAGGAAGACGGTTACTGCCATGGATGTGGTTTATGCTTTGAAGAGGCAGGGAAGGACTCTTTATGGATTTGGGGGTTAGGGTTTTGGGATTTGGTCTTGGGGTTTGTTGGTGGGGGTTTGGGTTTGGGTTTGGGATATGGAAAAGTCTTGCTGTCAAGAAAGTTTGGCATGGGATTTTGATTGGATTGTAGGCGGTGTTTATTAGGGTATCGTTAGCAGTAATGTTGTATTCCTTGTATTTTTTCTTTGGTAGTTTACTTTACATGATGATTGTGTTATGTAACTACATTTTTCAATGAACAAGAGATTATGTTTCAGCTATATTTTCTATCAAGGGTACCCTTGGTTTCATATGGAGTACTATTAATATAAGGATAACTCATGGCTGTGATTAGTGTTACATTCGCATAGCCGTCCATCAATTCTTAACTTTGATTTTGCGTTTATTTAGAATGTGTTGTTGCTTATAGTTATGAAACATTTTGTTTCTTAAGATGTCTTACATTACAAACCAAACGAGCTTTAAATAGCTGGCTGGAGTAACCCAACTTTTTGTTCAAAAATTTTGTATTTATAATTCTGGAAGACCATTGCCTAACAGTAGTTTACTGCAGCTTGTTTTTGGAAGCTCCTTTTCCATCGAGTTGTTTTTTGGATGCAAGGTGTTTCAATGATGGTTTATTGATTATGAGATGGCTAATCATTGAACAACACACTGTTTTTTTTGTGGTTACTGATTGCGGGATAGTTAATCATCGATCAAAAGGTTATTGTTGTAATATTCTCAGCTTGTTAAATGAAAGGATGGTTTTTTTGATTTTATCCCATCTTATGATTTGGTCATCGGATGGTGTATTCAACTGGCTAAGGAGCTGAATATGCAGAAGAGATTGTGGTGCACTCCAATACGTCTGTTGTGGATTACATTATTAAAATCCTGTGTTTTGCAGCGATTCAACTTGTCATCATGGGCTCCTAAGATACCATGAAACACGGGGATGTTTGCAAGGTAGATATAAGCTGAACATTGAGTCTCCTTGCCTGCGAGGAGCATCTAAAATGGTAGGTTTTTGAACTTCTGTTTTCTGCTGAATCACTGTTCTTTCTGGACTTTATTTTGATATATGCTTCTCATAATCTTATTCCTTTGATTAAATATTCCCACACTCATTTAGCATTATACCCTGAGACAACTTGATTTTCAACTATCTGCTAGGAGGTGGTATCCTGTTGATTGTATTTCACGGTTTTTAACTTACATTTGGTTTCAACTTACTGGTAGGGGACGGATAATCATTGATCAACAGGCTATTGTTGTGGTGTTACTGATTGGGGGACGGTTAATCATCTATCAATAGGTTATTGTTGTTATACTTTCAGCTTGCAAATTTACTTGATTTTTATGTTGGTTTTTTGGTTTTGTTTTGATATGCTATTTTAGGATATTGGGTTGGGCCTTAGTCCAAACTAAATAAATAGGAGTAGGCCCAGTTAGGATTCCTCAAATAAATAGAAGTGTATGGGGCAGTATTTAGGTATTTTATTATTTTCTGTTTTTCATATTAAGGTTTGGGGCAGTGAGGGAATTGTTTTCTCTGACTGAGGAGTTCTGCGATTATAGGGATCGGTCTCTGTAATAGTTTCTTAATTCAATTGATATTACATTTTCTATTCATCTTAATTTTCGATCCCTATCATGCTACTTATAATCTTTTAATCAAATTAATTGTTAAAATTTGAGCTACTTGCAATCCAGTAAACCCAACTCTTTTGAGCTGCTTGTCATCTTTTGTAATGCTACATGCAAAATGTTGGCGAAAATTCAAGATGAAACAAATTATTGTCAATTATTACTCACAGTTCAGGAGTGACTAAGAATTACGTGACTATTTGATAAGTTAATTGGGAATTCTCGACCATAATCTATGAACTTGATGTAGTGGTTACATACATGATTTAGTTGTGTAGACTATAATATTTCATGTTTATCCACGTGGGAAATGTGGCTCTCTAAACTAAGATGTTTCTCCTACAAACAAAAGGAGCCCACTGTAGCAGATGGAGCAACCCAAGTTTTTGTTCAGGAATTTAATATTTATAATTCTTGAAGAACATTGCTTGAGAATAGTTTACTGCAGCGTGTTTTTGGGAACTCCGTGTCCATTTTGAATTCTGCTTTTGTGGATACTGGGTCTTTCAATGACGGTTTTCCCAAATGGGGATGGTTAATCATTGATCACCAGACTATTTTTGTGGTGTTACCGAATGAGGATGGTTAATCATTGATCAAGTGGCTATTGTTATAATACCCTCAGTTTGCAAAATGATTGGATGTTCTTTTGTTGATTATATTCGATCTTACGATTTGGTCAGGAGACGTCAACTAGCCAAGGAGCTGAATATGCAGATCGCGGCGCACTCTGATACATCTGTTGTGGTGGACTGAATGATCAAAATCCCATATTTTACTGCGATTCACCTTGTCATTACGGGATGCAGCGATACCGTGCAGCATGGCATGGGGATGTTTCCAAGGTAAATATGAGCTGAACAATGAGGCTCATTGTCAATAGTAGTTGTTTAATGGTAGAATATTCGGCTTCTGTTTTCTGCTCAATCATGATGTATTCTTTCTGGTTTTGTTTTAATGTTTTTAATAATCTTATTACTTTGACTACTCATAAATATACTATCTCTTTCATTTTGCATTATGCCCTGTGATATCTTTGATTCTTCAGTTCAATGGGGTCATCAATATGAAAAGAAAAAAAACTCTGAATTGGTACTCACAGAGTCACAGTGCCAAGTTGTCACTTAGAATTTTAAGTGACATATTTGATAGTAAGTTATGAAATTTATTAATAATTATATTTGTCTATCGTGTAATTTATACAAAATTTTGCTCGAGATAGATGACTTCTTTTCCTTAAACTAACATTATCTTAATATGTTTGTACATAAGCTGTAAGAAAGATAGGACTCCTCAGTATTAAAAATTCATTTCAAAGGACACCTTAGCATGTCTTATTCATAATCGATTTTATAGGTCATCAGATTTATTAAAAAAACTTATTATGTCACATCCTCTTGCATTAATCGAAATATTATTTCTGATGACTAATATTTGAACTATATAAAGCCTCACATTAGTGTATTAAGCTATTGAATTGGAATCTATAGCCCAAATTCCATGGATTCTGATTGCGTATCAGTTTGTGTCAATAACAAAAGTATCCCCATCAGGCCAACCTTCGCAAACCTCTACAAATGGCCAGAATCAGAAGTTGAATTTGTGAAGACTATGAACACAAACAGTTTTTGCAACAACAAAGCTGAATTTGATAGTCTTTCTTGCAGGCAAATGTATTTGAGAAGCTACAGATTCTCAAGGAAGAAGTTGAGTGTCACTGAGAAGACCATTAAATGCTTCAACAGTGTAAAGGAGAGTGTGATTTATGCAAGCAACAGATTAAACTATAATATTAAGGGTAATTGTAAGATTCTAGGGAGGGCTAAGTATGTTACTTATGCTTCTGTTTCAATCTTTCATAGGATGCTTTCTCGATTTGGTAAGGTTCATCTCGCTCGTTATGGTTACTAATGCCACGTGCTTGTTTGTTTTTGCGGTGAATTAGTGTCCATCGCTCGTCAAGATTACAGTATCTAGTTCCTGTAAACAACATAGTCAATAAACAACATCTCCTTTACTCAATTACTGGTTTTTACATGTACAAGTATTTACACTTATATCCCTCTAATATGTGTGTAACTTGGGTATTTATAATGGTATTATTTCTTTCTTCCTCTCCAAGTTAATTAGCATTTATTTATATATAAGGAATTCCTAGTGGTATTGTGTTGCTTTGCTAGTGATCTTGATGGATGAAAAAGGGAATGTAGAAGATAGTGGAAGTGGTGATGGTGTGTGTAGATTTGGCCATAAGCATTTTCCTCACTTCAATCTAGTCATGGACAACTAACTTCTAAAAAGAGAAAACACTAGTCATATTTTCCATGATAGGGATGTGCACTAGATCTAAACCACTACCTATCAAAATAGTTCAAAACAGAATATGTCAAATACAGTCAATACTCATCATAGTTCACAAGCTTGCTCTCTTGAAAATTTGAACCAACTATAGACCAAATCATACAGGAAAATGCTAAATTTTGCAAACACAAGACATGAATCAACTCATTAATAGTAACAGCAAGTCAGTAAAAACATATAAAACAAAATGAAAGCACAACATGCCTTAATCTTTCATATGATACAAAAACACAAGACTGAATTCTTCTAAGCAGGACAACATTGCCAATTTTTAGATGTAGGTATTTCTCTGGTTGATAATAAAAAACATCTAAATAGTTGCACAACTTGCACTCAACCATGGTGCAAACCTTTGATTACCAATTAAGAAAGTGTGTTTGAGTAACTCCATCTTTCTTTACAAATCTATTAAGTGCCTCAATCACTATGAAGCACCAGCTCTCACAGATCGGTAATAATTTGAGAAGGTTGAATAAATGAATGTAACCACATGTCAGTGTTATCTCAAAGTTGACACTGACACGTGTTGGACACCAGACACGCTTTCAATGTGAAGTGTCGATGCCACATAGATGATAGAGAGCTATTAATTTGAAGATAAACAGTAAAAATGATAACAGAAGAATACTGTAATACATGATTTAGAAAAAGGGACCTCATCTACCCTCGGACTTCACCAGCTGTGAAAATACTCTACTCATAGAAACACCAGAAAGATCATCTACAGTTGAAGTTTCAAACTGTACAGCAGAAGCAGAAGACACATTTGCGTCTTGGTGGAAGTTGTTGACTTGTGGAGAGAGTTCGCCGATCATGTTTGTACTGTTTTCTTCAGGATCACCTTGAACCTCAGCTTCTTGAAGTTGTAGAGCATACTCTAAATTCCACAAGACATCTCCCATTGAAGGTCTATCAACACCATAGTCAGCCAAACATTTTTCAGCAGTTTCGCCAAACTTCCTAAGAGATTCTGGTTTGATTTTCCCTGCAAGTGCAGTATCGATGATTTGTTGCAACTGTCCTTTTTTAAGAAATTTCATCGCCCATTCTGCCAAGTTTACCTTTTCCCTAGGAAGTGACGGATCTATAACAGGCCTCGCACAAAGAACTTCAAACAAAACTACCCCAAAGGAATACACATCGGACTTCTCAGTCAGTTGCTGCCTCCTGAAATATTCTGGATCAAGGTACCCGAAACTCCCCTTGACGGCCGTGCTCACATGTGTTTGATCAAGTTCAGGACCGGTCTTTGACAATCCAAAATCAGCCACTTTAGCCATCAGGTTCTCGTCAAGTAAGATATTTGCCGATTTTACATCACGGTGAATGACTGCTTTAGCATAGCCGGTATGAAGGTAATGAAGTCCTCTAGCAGATCCAATGCAAATCTCAAGTCTCTGCTTCCAACTTAAGCTCGGGAGCCCCGAACCATATAAATGACTTTTGAGAGTTCCATTTTCCATGTATTCATATATCAGGATCATTTCATTATTTTCATCACAATAACCAATCAAAGACACCAAATGGCGATGACGAAATTGAGACAACATTTCAATTTCCGTTCTAAATTCAGCAATCCCCTGCTGCGACAATGGATTTCCCCTCTTCACCGCCACTTTCCTGCCATCTCTTAACTCTCCCTTGTAGACTTTCCCAAAACCACCAACCCCAATAACCCAACTCTCATCAAAATTATTTGTACCCTCCTTAACTTCCGCAAAAGGAACACGGTACTCAAAGTTTGAAGCAGCGCTTATCGTTGTGCCATTGGAATATTTACTTCCCATCGTATGTGTATCGTTGACGGACAAAGGAATCCATGTCTTTGACTGCCTTTGTTGTGCCAACCTCCTTCTTTTCCTACACAGTATGCAGCAAACTCCGGCCAAGACCACTGCACTCACTACCCCAACACTCACACCAGCTATCAGACCAACATGACTAGAACTCGAACCAGAGGAATCACCTCCAGCACCAGACGCCGCATTTGCACTGAGACTGCCAATAGAATTGTTCATTTTCATGATCTCCAGCCCATTCAAAATAGCATTAGGGTTGTCCTTATATGAAGTGGAAGGGCCAATACTTACATTTAGTTTATTGCTGTCAGCTATCGGCGTAACCAAATCCGTAAAATACGGAACACCCAAAACATTATTTCCTTTAGAACTAAGATCAAGTTCCTTAGCAGCTGCCATTGAGTCAATATAAACATTGAAGTAAAGTAAATTGAGAGCTTTGCTGACTATATCACAAAAGTGAGCTCGAACAAGGTATTGAAATCCAGGCTCCACATCAAATTGCCACGTCACATTGAAATTAATATTAGTATCACCACCGGTACTCGTGTTTGTGTTCATCTCCGCAGCAGTACCATAAACACTAGGCGGAGCAGTGAATTGTGTTGGCCCTCCAAAAGTATACTTAACAGCAGGAATATTCGAAACATCATTGGCAAGGTTCGATGTTCGAAGAAACTTTTGATCCGTCACCCAAGTTCTCTGAAGAGGGTCCACTCCAGACGTAACAACTGGACCACCCATGTTAACCCTCCAAACAGTCTCCAAAGCCTGAGTCCCCAAACCAGAATACGTCATCGACGGATTCAAGTTCAAAGCATCATCAGCAATGAGATCATCAGGAACAGAAACAACCTCAATTGCATTCACAAAAGCAACTGAACTATCCAAAGGCCTAAAAGTAATCTCAAGGATATCTGTGGTAACATTGATAGAATATTCCTTCATAAAAGGATTCTTCTGCATAGTTAAACCACTAATAAGCACAATGGTTTGTGTCGATACAACGAATTTCGCAGCATTCAGATTATATTTATCATAAATAAATGGAAAAAAATAAAACCGGATCCAGTGTCTTCCCTTTTGGTTAATAGGAAAAGTGTACTTTGAAGATCCAGTAAAAACTCTTGCAGTTTTATAAAGTGGTGCTTCATCATCTTTAGAAGAAACTGAATTTGCAGAAGTACTAGCAAGAATCTCTCGCTGAGTTGTAAGTAACTTCTTAGATAAAGTATCTGAAGTGAAATTGCGGTTACCTACTGAAGTAGGTGTAGTTGATCCACAATCTATAAGGTAATTATCAGCTGGAACAAAAGTTGCACAAAAACATACCAAAGGCAAGAGATTCAAAGCACAGATAACCAAACCAAGTTTTCTCCAATCCATCATAATGGGTTTTCTGTTTTGCTTCCAAAAAAACTATCTTTTTGGAGCAATTTGAATTCTAGTAAGATCTGTGGTACATGCAAAAAAAGTAAACAAATTAGGGTTTTTTTGAAACTTATTAAGCAAAAAAGCATAAAAGTAAAAAAAAAAGAGAGAGAAAAAATGGCACCTTTTAGCACTGTTTTAGCTCAAGTAGAATGAAGGTAGAGAGAGAGGAGAAGACAAATTTGAAAGGATCTGTTTTTTTGTTATTTTGGGAGAGAGATTTGAATGGAAGAAGAAGAAGAAAGACAAGTTGAGAGAATATAGCTAAGCATAAGCTGGAATAATGTTTATGACAACCTAAAGTTTTGACATATTCATAGATTCTTAATATTTTGTCTTAGTTTAATATATATATAGGGAGAGGGGGAGTGGAAACGGTGGAAGTTTGGTCAAAAAAATAAAAATATGAAGGGTTGGTGCTGGATTTTGAGTGAAAAACTTGAAAACGTGTGTGGTGTAAATAGAGATTAAAAAAATTGAGATAGGTGAGGAAAGTGAGGTTAGTGTCTTTAGGTAGTTTGATTAAAGAGTTATTAGAAGTGGAGAATGAATAGAATAAAAAAGGAAGAAAAAAAAAAGTGAGATAATGATATATTTTATCGGATCATTATTATAACTAATTTTTTTAATTAAATTTATTGAATAATGAATGTATTTCGTCTTGTAGATCCGATATATTTATTATTCAATGAACTTAAAAAGAGAATATTTGTTTATAATAATGGCCAAAAGGAGTATTAGTTTGTTTAATTTTAACGTATCTATAACACATTCTATATAATTTTTTCTAAAAAATTCAAATAAAACTAGTTTGAAAATTGCTAACTTTTAGTATAATTCTACAGTCAACAAGCATTGGGACTATGGATGAGAATAGTGCATTCAACATCAGACTTCATAAAGCCTAAATTTGACTTACATCAATTTTAAGAGTTTCAGTCTATAGACTCCTTTCACACCGTTACAAATTAAGGATACATTATTTTCACGTTTTTCTGTTTCATGTGAGTTATTCCATAAGTGGATGACGTATGTGAGAAAGGGGTGACATGTCTGATAAATGGACAACCAATTTAAACTATGAGAGAATTTGAAGATATTGTGGCGATATGTTACCTTGTTGCCCTATTCACGCCTCCTCTTATAAGCCCTCTACTAAATTGAGGAATCAAGTTTCAAATTCAATTTCACTCCATTATTCTTCCCCATATACTGACTTGAGCATTGAAGTGCTAACCTTGCAGACCTCAACTCCACCGCATTATAAGTTTTGATTCATTGTCACCACTGCTTCTTAGCTCATTTCTTGTTCCTGAACGA